TATTATAGAGGTTTTACATGATAGCCTATCTGTCTCTGCTGACATATATTATACATTACTTATAAATAATTATGTTATAATCAAACTGTATACAATACTATATAGCAGACACCTATATAATATTATATATATATATACCATTGTACTATATTATACAGAGGTAGCTTTGCCGGCATTCAATTTACTTCGATGGAGTTCTATATATTGTATACATATTAATTCGACCGTATTAAATAGCCAGTGATTTACATCGCGTTTTACATGTAAATCAGCCGAGAAACTCGTTAGGAAGTTCATAAAGACGTAAACAAACGCGGTGGAGGTGCAGCTACAGACCGCATTAAAAATCGACCAACGGAGCATCCGACACCTCTCGCGCGCCTTCCTCGCCAACATTGTCTCGCATAAATTTCACAAAAAAAAAAAATTCTATGCTGTAGCTGGGAAAAACGCGCATCTTGCTATAATATAATATTATACGTAGGTATCATAGTCTCGTTATTATATTGTGCAACACTATATAGCACCGCATTATATATAACTTTACTAGTTCAATACATATACAGGAAGATCCATAGACGTAAGTTGTAATAATTTTAAAAGTTAAATTTTGTGTTTTTAAATCATTTGGACTAAATTTTATTAAAAACAAAAGTGTTTTTAGGTGCATATGATCAAGTCATACGTAACTCGTACTTAATAAAACTTTGAATACTTAAAAAAAAAAACAATTATCTATTAAATTACCTAATGTGCTGCAATATTTATGATTCACCAAAATTTTTTTAGAAAACTATTCTATACTTAATCTAAAAAAAAAAAAAAAAAACGATTGAAATAAAAACTTACACCGTCTAGCAATATTTGTATACTAAAAATAATTTTTTTTTAAACACATTAACTTGTCAAAGTGTACAGTAGGTATTATAGTTTTGAAGTGAAATTTACTTTGCAAAATACAAAAATTCATATTCTCAGTTATCAGAATCACTCTGTATATAATATGTGCATCGTGAACCCACCGTATAAGTTTATTAGGAATATTAACATAACGCCAGCTGCGGTTGCGGATGTGATGACACGATATATCACGAAAATGGTATACGTATGTGTAAGTTATATACAAAGTTTAGACTGATTTTTTAAATTATATTTAAATAAATATATTATTATGTAACTTAAGACTAAAAAAATAAAAAGTGACCTAAGTGAATCTATTTTTTAAGACCTTGTGATCGTATCAACGTTGTACCAATTTTTTTTTATTGGATAAACTAAGGATTGGGGAAAATATTATTTGTATCTAATCATACCGATAGCGAAATGATAAATCAACTGCCTACCTGCATATTATGATYATTGAGTTATCTGATACACTAAATTGAAAGTTTAAAATTTAATTTAWAMCAGAATTTATGATATTATATAAATTTTTCAAAATAACTAATTAAATTCATGTTGGTTTCAAATTTTTAAGAATTCAAAATRTGTATTTTATATTAACTTATCTCTCGGTTTATCTTCAGCAGTAATAACTTTAATAAATTAAGAATACGTTCTTATAAAAATACCATCTGTACCATAAATTTAAAATAAATAGGTAGGTATACTAATTAAAAAAAAAAAAACCGTGAAATGTTGCTTTCTAACACGAGTAATTCATAAGTATAACATTACTACAGATAATCAAGATCACGATACATATCAACGTTTATAACTTAAATGAGAAAAATCTCAAAAAATGTATTCAAAAGCCCAATCATCTCAAAACAGTGCCCAAAAAACGAGAAGTGATTTTAAAGTTTTGAACCAGTAATCCTTAATGGTTGACTTTCAGCTTGTTGAGTCTTCGTTCAAGTATAAACGACGTGGTTGTGGTGTGAAGAGSGGTCAGAAGAGCACTCCGTGCGTATGCGTGTACACAAAGGAATTTGTGAGACGACTGTAAAAATGTCCATTAGTTTTATATTCTACATAATATATATTATATAATCGTAGGAGTCGTATCAGTCGCCGCGACTATTGTGTGAAACTATTGGTCCCATTTGTATATTACATTGGTCGTGTGTGTACGTGTGCGAGCAAGCTTTGTTCGAGGGGTCGGACCCATGTCGATTTCTGTAGACGTTCGACAGTCGATTGGATTATGGCAGGCAAAATCGACATGGACATGGTGCAACAGCCACTGCAACGCCGCGCGCCGCCGGAATGTCATCACTCACACACTGACACTGCAGTCGGGTAGTCGGGTCTAGTGACCGACATGTTTCTATAATACGTCCTACCTACTATGGAGAATAATACACCAAATGCATGCTATCCCGAGGCTTTTGTCCTAAAGCTAAACCAAAAACGGCCTGCACTATATCATTCATACGACTGACCTTTATTGAGTTCCACCGATCATAATGTCTAAACTTTTAGGTGGATGTCGCGGCGTACCGTTTGTTTTCTCTTTCGAACTCACGTGCAAATTTATGTTTAGCAAAACTAATCCTGATTAATTACTTTTAATATTAGAACGAATTCATCTATTATCAAAATTTAAACTATGATGAACATTACYTGTGTCCCGAAGTTTATATTTACAATATATTAATTTGTATAAAATGTATAAGTATTTTTAATTTAATTGTTTACAGATTGTAAATATTTTCTAATAAAATATAAAAAAAAGTATTTTTAAACTGTAATAATTTAAACGCTTAAAACTTATACAAGGTGGTTCAGTAAGATCCGAAAAAAAAATCATGCCAATTAAACGTATGATAAAGATTGTTAATATTATGTGAGAAGTAAATAATTTAAGAAATATACTCATCAAATTCTCAAAAATCATATTTTTAAAAAATGTAATAAGTTCCAAATTAATTTAACTAAAAAAATATTGAATTTAAAAAAAAAAAATTTTAAAAATAAACTACTTGACTTAAATAAATCTTTTACCATCAAAATTGTTCTTATAATCAGTTCACAAATAGGCAATTTTGAATTGATCCAAAAATATTTTTAAGTTT